GCATTCTATTTCACATTCATCAGTTTGACAACAATCGGTCTTGGTGACGTTATGCCTTATAACATACAGGCTAGTTTATAAAATTCAGTTGGCAGAACGCCGCAATGCAACCGCGCCACTAGCTGCCAGCGAGCGGTTGCGGTGCAGTTTGCATTTGAAATAGGAAAAAGCTGTAAGGTCATCTCTGACGTGTTAGGCGGAAGGAGGGAGGAGGAGAGAAGGGGAAACTTACAAACTTTACACATTAATTTCTTGCACAAAATTAGTTAAGTAAAACTAACTATTTAACTAGTTTAGAGCTTCGATTCTAAAGCAAATTTCAAAATCGATTCTAGTCCTAATGAAGTGCGATACATGAGCGTTGCGAAAGTAGCCACAAATAACTTTCAGAATATCGCAACCACTTCCAGAAGAATCGCAAATTAAGCCACATTATTTCCCACATCAATTAGAATACCTTTCTTCCTGTATCAAAACGAGGTCAACATATCTATTATATTAGGGAAATTAGTAAAGGAAAAAAATAGCTATCTTGCCGAGCCGCATTTACTCGCGCCCTAAAATCATCCGTGAATAGGGACAAATTGCTGATTTTTTGGAAATTTTTGGAACATTTTTTCCTCGATTTCAGTATTCGCCTTTTTTGGCTGGTGCTTTTCTTCTGGGTTTGGCTTTAGTCAGCATAGTCAATACTAGTATCTATGCTCAACTATACGATGTTTTCTTCAATTTCGTAGAGAAAGTCGAGAGGCATCTGGAAAGGATCCACAATGAACATTTTCGTGGACATGGATATCGCGTATTTCAGGTGATTTTGTTCGATCTAAAAAAATACATTTGAAATTTCTTTTCGGAGTTTTTCTGGGCGAAGTTTATTTGTAATCAATATCTTTTTAGAAGTTCCTTTACTTGCTAAAGTATCTGCCCTTTAAAAACGATTTTTCTAACATTTTTCATTGAATCCACAAGTATTCAAGGATATGGAACCAATATTTCGATTGCTTGTCTGCTCCTTCCCTCATATTCCTAAAGATTCCAAAGAAGAATGGTGCGAAACTGTACGAGAAAGCTTCCGAGTGGCAAAGAAGCCCAAAAAAACCGTGCGGGTAAGTAGGCGTGGCTTACCCATCAATGTTTGAAAAGCTGTAAATTTCCTTGAGTCTTTAGATGGAAGTACCAGCCCACATACGAAAACGTACCATATCCGACATTGCTGCTCATGATGGAGAACATGTTCCGCAGGAGAAACCGCAAACATCTAGAAGAAGAGCACCAACATTGGGAGCTATGGGTGGTTTTGATTTGGCGAAATTTAGGTAAAGGAGCCTTAATTGTCTGGAAACTCATAATATTCATATTTTATCTTTCTAACAGAAAAATGCACGAGGATCGTCGAGCACGTGAGAGAGCGGAAAGGTTGAAAAAAAGAACAGTTGTGGAGTCGGAGTCAAGTACCGAAGAGGAAGAGTCTGAAAGCGAACCCGAAACGGTAAATGAGGAAGATCCACCGTCAACAGGAAGTTCGCAAACGTATTTAATATAACATTCTGTATATAATATGATCTTCCTATGCATAAATGCTTTGGTATCGACTTGGAATCTCCACCGGTTTCGAAATAGGTAAATAATC